TTCTCTTTGATAGCATGGCTAAGGATCTGTCAATTTTATTTGTTTTTTCAAAGAACCAACTTTTTCTGTCAACATTTTCAATTGTTTCTTTTGTTTCAATTTCATTGATTTCAGCTCTGATTTTAATTATTTCCTATCTTCTACTGATTTTCATGTTGATTTGTTCTTCTTTTTCTAGGGCTTTGAGCTATAATGTTAAGTCATTTATTTGTTAACTTTTTCTTCTTTTAAGTAGTGAACTTCATGCAATGAACTTTCCTCTTAGAACTGCTTTCATAGTGTCCCAGAGATTTTGATATATTGTATCTGTGTTCTCATTCACCGATCAATTTTTTTAATCTCCTCCTTGATGTCTTCTGTAACCCATTGTTCATTCAGTAGCATATTATTTAGTCTCCAGTGTTGGAGTGGATTTTCTTTCTTTTTTTATATTTTATTTTTTAGTTATAGTTGGACACAATACCTTTATTTTGTTTATTTATTTTTATGTGTGCTGAGGATCGAACCCAGGGCCTTGCATGAGGTAGGTGAGCACTCTACCACTGAGCCACAAGCCCAGTCCCAGATTTTATTTCTTATTTTATTATTGATTTCTAATTTCATTCCATTATGATCTGATAGAATGCAGGGTAGCATCTCTCCTTTTTGTATATTTGCTAAGAGTTTCTTTGTGGCATAATATATGGTCTGTTTTAGAGATGAATCCATGTGCTGCTGAGAAGAAAGTGTATTCAATTGTTGAAGGATGAAATATTCTATATATATCAATTAAGTAAGTTATTGATTGTATTATTGAGTTCTAGTGTTTCTTTGTTCAGCTTTTGTTTGGGAGATCTATCTAGTGATGAAAGAGGTGTATTAAAATCACCTAAATTATTGTGTTGTGGTCTATTTGATTCTTGAACATAGTAGATGCTCCATTGTTTGGAGCATATATATATTTATAATTGTTAAGTCTTATTGGTGTATGGTTCCCTTGCACAATATGAAGTGTTCTTCTTTATCCTTTTCCATTGACTTTAGTTGAAGTTTACTTTATTTGATAAGAGGATAGAAACCCCTGCTTCCACAGTCTATGTCAGTCTATGTGAGTGGTATGATTTTTCCCAACCCTTCACCTTCTGTCTGTGGAAGTCTTTTTCTATGAGATGAGTCTCTTGGAGGCAGGATATTGTTGGGTCTTTTTTTTTTTACCCAATCTGTTAGTCTATGTCTTTTGATTGGTGAGTTTAGGCCATTAACATTCAGGGTTATTACTGAGACATGATTTGTATCCCCAGTCATTTTTGTTTATTTTTGGTATTTAATGTGTCTTGGTTTCTTCTCTGATTAGATTTTCCTTTAGTGTAATCCCTCCCTCTGCTGATTTTCCTCACTGTTTTTCATCTCCTCTTCTTGGAATACTTTGCTGAGAATATTCTGTAGTGCAAGCTTTCTAGTTGTCAATTCTTTTAACTTTTGCTTATCATGGAAGGTTTTTATTTCATCATCAAATCTAAAACTTAGTTATAAGATTCTTGGTTGGCATCCATTTTTCTTTCAGAGCTTGGTATATGTTGTTTCATAATCTCCTGGCTTTGAAGGTCTGGGTTGAAAAATCTGCTGAGATATGAACTGGTGTCCCCCTATATGTGATTTGAGTGCTCTCTCTTAAAAGATTCTATCTTTATTCTGTATGCTAGGCATTTTCATTATAATGTGCCTTGATGTAGATCTGTTGTAATTTTGTACATTTGGTGTCCTGTAAGCCTCTTGTATTTGGCTTGCCAATTCGTTCATTCTTCATATTTGGGATATTTTCTGGTATTATCTCATTGAAGAGATTGTGCATTCCTTTGGTTTGAAACTCTGTTCTTCTATACCAACTCTTAGATTTGCTCTTTTGTTGCTGTCCCATAATTCTTGGACATTCTGTTCATGGTTTCTAATTATCTTCACTATGTGATCAACTTTATTTTCCAGATTGTATAAGTTATCTTTCTTCCAAGTGATCTAGTCTATGTTATGCTTTCTATTGAGTTTTTTATTTGATTTATTGTATCCTTCATTTCAAAGATTCCTGACTGGTTGTTTTTCAGAGTCTCTACCTCTCTCTCAAAGTAATCTTTTGCTACCTGTATTTGCTCTCTTATCTCATTGTTGGAATAATCAATTTTTGCCTGTATTTGCTCATTTAGGTCATTCTTTAATTCACAGATCATTTTAATTATGAACCTCTGTACTCCTTCTCTGACATTTCATCAACTTCACTGTCTTTGAGTTCTGTTATTATAGTGTCCTGGTTTGCTTGGGGGCACTTTCCTCCCTTGTTTTTATATGTTGTCTATGTGTCTTCCTTTCTTGCAGTGTGGATCTAAGATAGTGCATTTTCTTTCCTATATTCCATGCAGATTGTCTTACCTCACTTTGATGTTAGGCTTCCAGACTCTCCTGATGTCCCTCCATGAATGCTATTACATCCTGTATCTGGGTCCTGTGCAAGTTAGTATGGGTGATCTAGGCTTCTGGGCTTGACCTCCCTCTATGGTCTGCTGGTCAGAAGGGGTGGTCCTTCACCAGAGGCTAGGCTCTGGTGGGTGTCTGCCCTGC